GAGGGATTGAAGTATTCCTCCCTCTTTCCTCTTCGGATTGCGCTACCACGCTCGTTGGTGACCTCTTTATGGGTCCTTTCCTCAATTTCATTTAGAAATTGTAGAACTCGGCGAAGCTTTCTTCATAACTCTTCCATGGAGAACCCCTGACCAGGTTCTGGCAATTTCCTCAATGGCGGTCTAAATGGGATTTGGGTTGGGTTAGTGGGTATGTGGGAAAAGGTGTGTAAGGATGATGGAGGGTGGAAAAGAAATATTTTGACTGGAGGTAGGATTGGGTAGTGGTGGATGCTAGGAGCCTTGGAATAAAACTAGACTTATGCTAGCTCTGATACCAAATGATATCAGAGTTAACCCAAACAACAATGAGAACGCTAATATTATTACTAAAAAGGGTAATATGCAGTTACAACTACACACACTTGACAAGAAAATACAACAATAAACCAAACAAACATGGTTAAATCTATCCAAAGGAGTTTGTCGGTAGGGTGACTGGATGGTAGGAGGAAGGCGACGAGGCGGTGGATGGTTGTAGGAGGAAGGGGAATGTGCAGCGGACTACAATGGAGAAAGATGGAGGTTGGTCGGCCGAAAGAAACCAAGCAGGGGCTGGTTAGAGGGTTGGAATAGCAGCAAACAACCAATAGAGGTTGTTCCGGGGGCAGCGATGGTGATATGGAATAGGGGGACCACAGGATGACAATGGGGGAGTTGTCGTGGAACTGCAGCAATGAGGGGGATGGCTTGACAGCTGGAAGGGATGGCAGCAGGTGTAGGCGGAGGTGGACGGCAGTTGTAGGACAACAACAGGGTTGTTGTCCGGTGGTTCAGGTTGTGAGGAAAGAACTCTCCACATCTTCTCCAAGATAGTAATCATGCTTCTTCCTTCTCTATTTCTCTCCCTTGTCAGGTTCTACCACCATAACGAGGCGCTCTATTACAGCCTGATAGAATCCTGTTTAACTTTCTGGTCATCTGGCACCTCCTTATATTCAAAGATCTTCTTGACTATCTGCAGTCACTTTATGAAATCAACTGGATTCATTCTCCCCTCGAAATCTGATATGTCCACTTTCACTCATGTGTCTCTCTATCATCCAACAAGCACTTCATCTCTGTATTCTCTAATAGACGCTTCATTTTTGTATCATCTAACATCTCTCAGCCTCCTCTGATAATGTATCACAAAGTGTCATGGCTTCTCTTCATCTCCACTGGAATCATCCCTACGAGAGGGATTGAAGTATTCCTCCCTCTTTCCTCTTCGGATTGCGCTACCACGCTCGTCGGTGACCTCTTTATGGGTCCTTTCCTCAATTTCATTTAGAAATTGTAGAACTCGGCGAAGCTTTCTTCATAACTCTTCCATGGAGAACCCCTGACCAGGTTCTGGCAATTTCCTCAATGGCGGTCTAAATGGGATTTGGGTTGGGTTAGTGGGTATGTGGAAAGAGGTGTGTAACGGTGATGGAGGGTGGAAAAGAAATTTTTTGACTGGAGGTAGGATTGGGTAGTGGTGGATGCTAGGAGCCTTGGAATAAAACTAGACTTATGCTAGCTCTGATACCAAATGATATCAGAGTTAACCCAAACAACAATGAGAACGCTAATATTATTACTAAAAAGGGTAATATGCAGTTACAACTACACACACTTGACAAGAAAATACAACAATAAACCAAACAAACATGGTTAAATCTATCCAAAGGAGTTTGTCGGTAGGGTGAGTGGATGGTAGGAGGAAGGCGACGAGGCGGTGGATGGTTGTAGGAGGAAGGGGAATGTGCGGCGGACTACAATGGAGAAAGGTGGAGGTTGGTCGGCTGAAAGAAACCAAGCAGGGGCTGGTTAGAGGGTTAGAATAGCAGCAAACAACCAATAGAGGTTGTTCCGGGGGCAGCGATGGTGATATGGAATATGGGGACCACAGGATGACAAAGGGGGAGTTGTCGTGGAACTGCGGCAATGAGGGGGATGGCTTGACAGCTGGACGGGATGGCAGCAGGTGTAGGCGGAGGTGGACGGCAGTTGTAGGACGACAACAGGGTTGTTGTCCGGTGGTTCAGGTTGTGAGGAAAGATGGAGGTGACAGTGAGGGGAGGAATGTGGAGGATAGAAAAATCAGAGATAAATATCTCCGCGAGAGCACTTGAAAAGAAATCACGACATTGACGAGCTAAAGTCGGAGCACCACCCACAGTTGGAAACAGCCCTAGAAGGGGAAAACCTGGATGCCAACTGCTTATCCTAACATAACACAATCTCAAATCTGAAAACCTAAAATATAAGAATCACATACATAAGCCCTAGATAACTAGGATTTGATCCTCCTATGGAAAAGATGCGCCCATCTCTCGCGGAATAGCCGATTGTCTCCCTCGTCAGGTTCTACCACCATAACGAGGCGCTCTATTACAGCCTGATAGAATCCTGTTTAACTTTCTGGTCATCTGGCACCTCCTTATATTCAAAGATCTTCTTGACTATCTGCAGTCACTTTATGAAATCAACTGGATTCATTCTCCCCTCGAAATCTGATATGTCCACTTTCACTCATGTGTCTCTCTATCATCCAACAAGCACTTCATCTCTGTATTCTCTAATAGACGCTTCATTTTTGTATCATCTAACATCTCTCAGCCTCCTCTGATAATGTATCACAAAGTGTCATGGCTTCTCTTCATCTCCACTGGAATCATCCCTACGAGAGGGATTGAAGTATTCCTCCCTCTTTCCTCTTCGGATTGCGCTACCACGCTCGTTGGTGACCTCTTTATGGGTCCTTTCCTCAATTTCATTTAGAAATTGTAGAACTCGGCGAAGCTTTCTTCATAACTCTTCCATGGAGAACCCCTGACCAGGTTCTGGCAATTTCCTCAATGGCGGTCTAAATGGGATTTGGGTTGGGTTAGTGGGTATGTGGGAAAAGGTGTGTAAGGATGATGGAGGGTGGAAAAGAAATATTTTGACTGGAGGTAGGATTGGGTAGTGGTGGATGCTAGGAGCCTTGGAATAAAACTAGACTTATGCTAGCTCTGATACCAAATGATATCAGAGTTAACCCAAACAACAATGAGAACGCTAATATTATTACTAAAAAGGGTAATATGCAGTTACAACTACACACACTTGACAAGAAAATACAACAATAAACCAAACAAACATGGTTAAATCTATCCAAAGGAGTTTGTCGGTAGGGTGAGTGGATGGTAGGAGGAAGGCGACGAGGCGGTGGATGGTTGTAGGAGGAAGGGGAATGTGCGGCGGACTACAATGGAGAAAGGTGGAGGTTGGTCGGCTGAAAGAAACCAAGCAGGGGCTGGTTAGAGGGTTAGAATAGCAGCAAACAACCAATAGAGGTTGTTCCGGGGGCAGCGATGGTGATAGACTGGATTCGATTTGGTCCAGACAAAGGAATCACAGAAGCCTCTACCACGGTTCCTTTACACCTGCATCACTAACAGATTGATCCCACTCTTTAAAGCTGAAGAAACTAAATTGATTGGAACTAAAAAATGGAGGAAGTTCAATTTTGCCGTTCTAAGTTGGATGCGGAAAGTTTTGCAATTAGGAATGGGCGTGAAAACATCCGCTTCTATCCCTTAAGCAAAATTAGGTACTAATCACCTAAATAATCATATTGTTCCCCAATGCCCAAGATGTGTATAAGGGATCATTCAAAGGACAGTGTTCAATGAGGACAAGTTGGGTACACTAAAGAGAAGTGATTAGACTTATAAAACTTTAAGACAGTAGGTAAACATGCTTATAATTGTGTGCAACAATCGGCTTTTGCAATGTAGAGTAAGGATCGAGTCTAAGACCCACAAAAAGGGAGGCAAAAAATTTGCTAGCTCATGGTGATATAGTTATGATAGATTTTCTGAACAATTGCTTTCATTTCTAAATGCCTCTACTTCATGGGTGCAATTATAGGCCTTTATGGTGGCAATTATGTGGATCAAAATATATACGTACATCCAGGTGAACGGCCTAAATGAATTTAGTCAACATAACCCAATCAAGGCAGTGTAGAAGAATCTGTGTGACAAGATCAAGAAGCTTATTCGTATAGTGTATCATAGAACAATAAACTTGCTAAAGGGTTGTGAAGTTATGCAACTTGGTCGCATTATTGTAAAAGATAGGTTTGGATGAAGCGCTAAACTACGGCACTATATAGAGCAATAGATGACATGCTTTGAACCTAAAGCTCATATTGCAGGTCTATCTAAAAGCATTTTATACCTCCCAACAAGTTCATCAAAACAAACTCAAGTCACACATTATTCAACATTTTATACCATTATAGATTTTTTTAACTCTGGCAAACCAATTGACAGGGTATTGGGATCATGACGATCATTGTAAGAAGAGCAATCTAACTAGATGGTAATCTTTATAAGCTCAATGATGACCAGTCAGGTGGCCATGATATGTGTCATAATTGTGAGGAAAAAAAATCCTCACCATACTCGATTGGATAGTCAAATGACTAATGAGACATGAATTCATCATGATGAAACCAGTAGATACCAGTAGCCCCACATGGACACAATGCTCCTTTGAAACATTTTAAATCTTCTCCCTTTATCAAGATTCCTACTCTAAAAGAGAGGAAAATCAAGCATAGTTCCTTAGCTATGCAACATAAATTACAAAATAGGTACAATCAATTGAAGGTCATGGTGCATCAATTGTCTTATGTATACGTATAATATAAGAGTTGGAGCATTCACAAATGGCCGATATAATTTTTTTTCTTAGGCTCAACTGTTTGTAAAATATCAGTTCATGTTGTAAGCCATTATATTACTCGCTAAGGAAAATATTACTTAATGCATAAAAATTGGAAAGCGGTTTATTTTGATGATTTGAACTGTGCCAACAAACCTAAATTCTTGTTGTTCATGATCAACCAGCAGATAATAAAATACAGAAAGAAAAGCAAAAAAATATGATTGCTGCAAGACCCAACCTTGGATTTGGCTTCATACCTTGACAGTGAAGATACTCGAGTGCTATAACAACTTCTGCAGCATAGAATCTGTATTCATAATTAATCTTGTTTTATTAAAATTCAGAAGAAACTAAAGAACTTCATTCACAAACAGTTAAAGTTGAAAAAGTTAAATCACCATAAAAAGATAAAAGCATCATGAACACAATTATCTAATATTCAAAGTAGTTTTTTTTTTTTTTCTCATAACACAAACTTGTGGAATCAGATAGTATGAATATAGACAAAAAGAAAAGTTTGTTGCAAAACTTCAGAAATTTTAACCAATTCGGCTAAATATTAAAAATGCTGCTGAATTAACTCACTAAAGTTTACCTGTAGCAGTGGTATAGAAGGTTCAAACAAACCCCATGTGATTCATTTTGCAGTAAATAAAAATGACTAAGCATAAAACTCAAAAGAAGATCTAAGAGAGTTCATGCAGAGAACTAAGAATATGCATTCTTGAAATTTAAAGTAGTATATCTACCTGACAGCATCTTCCTTGAGGACTTTCAGAGGTTGCCTGTCTAGTAGAAGAAAGAGCTCCCCACCAGGGCAATAGTCCGTAATTAGGCAGATATGTGTTTTTGTCTGCAAAAAGTTCCAGAATAATGTTACCTATAGTTGCTGCTTTCATTGTATTTTAGGAGAATTACAGGTTTATAAGAACTTCATTATGAAGCAACATTTAATTCAGTTGAAAAATGATATTGAGTGCAGGCGTGAATGGTATCCCCAATGAGTATGGAGATGAACACAAGAAAATACGCTTAAACTCACTTGGAAAATTTTGTGATCAAATTACTGATAAAACATACTTCAGATTTCATAATAAAACTCCCTTGATCCTTAAGTGTACTAGAAAGATATGCCCCCTTTTTGGAATAATCTTCACTTGGACAGATCCATGTTTCGTTAGTTTATGTTCCCTAGAGTTAAAAATTTTATAGAGCAGACCCTAGGTAGTATGGATAAGCACATTAGTAACAATTATATGTCATACATTAAGAATAAAATCGGAAGAGCCAAAGTGTTCTCAGAATCCTGATCAAAATCAATCCGTTTTTATGAGCTAAATTCTAAAAGGAGGATTGCGTACACATAGTTATTTAAGTTGAATATGTCATCATCCAGTATGTCCGTAACAAATGCAAACAATTAGGAACTCCAGTTCTTCAAAGAAACGGGCCAATGGTTAAATCTTCTTAGCCGAAAGGAGCTCTGCAATACCAACTTCATATTCTATCATATCTTCTATTCAATTTCCATGGATTTTCACAAGATGACTTGCACAAATATGTTTGCATCAGAAATTATAGGTGCTTTGAGGGAGGGGGATAGTTTTTTTCTATTTGATAAATGAAGTCTGTCATGATTACACAACATATAGACAAACTATATATTTAGTTAGCACATGTTCATCCATATTAAATAGATGTATTAAGAAAGAACAATTTAATGAGTTCAGAAACGATGGTAGAAACACCATGACACAGGATGCATTTCTACAGAAATGCGAACTTTAGGAGTGCAGACGCGGGATGCGTTACCTCAGGAATGCGGACGCAAGATCCCGCATTTACAGCAAGATTGCGGGATGTCATCTCGCACGGGAACCAATCTCGATCCAACTTGTACATTATTTTGGTTTCTTTGTTTAATTTCTTTCCTATTTCCTTATTCCTAATTAGGGTATTTTCAATTATGAGACTATTTATATTTTGTCTTTTTTATTTTTTAAGACTTTCCTTTGTTTCAGGTATTATGGAGATTGTAATATCTGATTTCCTACTTTATGAGTTATGTATCATTTTCCTTTTGCAAGTGATGTGTTTATTTCTTACTCAGAAACATATGGTGGATCCCGCTTGCCACTTCTCCATTTGAATACTGTTTTCAGTCGGGACGATCGCCGAACTTATCCAACCTGCGGTCTGGTATTAGGTTCCACCTCTTAAACACTTTCAAAAGCCGTCGAACTCGCATACTATCTTTCCCTTACCATTTCACAATCATCTCCCCGCATAACCCGCTTCCTAAACACCTTCTAAGAGTCATAGATAAGTATCATCTAATATCAAAGCCGAACAATCCGTAGATTCTTTAGGGTTTTATCGTTCTTAACCGAATCCAAAATTCCAAATAATAATTTCCACCATACCTACCACAATTCCTAGCCCTAATCTTGAATTTTTAAAATCCAATCTTTCTACCTTTACCAAAAATCCAACTCAAGACCTACTACCAAAAGCTTATAATTCAACCAATATTTTATCTACAACTCCCATCAAAACCTTGACTGAGAGAAAATGACACAATATCGCCTAGAAGATATCCTCAAAAATGTGTCTAGGAGCTAACTAACAAGGGTATGCAAAAAAAAAATTTTCAACTGCACCAAGGGCTTCCCACCTTTGAGAAAAGACAATCCGATGAAGTCAGTCGTAGCCAAAACGGTGACTTGCCAGATTAAGGGAAGGAAATGAATCCCTTCCATCAAAAAATTTTCAGAAGAACTAATATCTCGACAATTTGGCATAAAATATCATAGAAGTGAGAATCTCGGAGTAAAAGTTGATTTACCAAATTTTGACAGTCGCATGGATCCAAACAAATTTTTCGAATGGCTCCAAACGATAAAACGGGTATTTAAGTATAAAAGTGTTCCATCTGACAAAAGGGTCAAGCTAACCGCTACAAAGCTAAGGAAGAATGTTTCTTTATGGCGAGAGGAATTGAAGATTCTTCGATAGCGAGAAGAGAAAAGTGAAATGACAACCTGATCTAAGGGGAAACAAGAGAAACTGTACAAGTATCTACCAACACATTACTAACAAGACATGTCATTAAGACTTTACCGCTTACAATTGAAAGACCTCTCAATAGAAGAGTACATAGTTGAGTTAGAGCAACTTAAGTTGAAGTGTGAACTACTAAATATGAGAAAACCATCATAGCTCGATATTTGAGGGGATTCAAACGTCCATTGGCAATGTGGAACAATTATGGCCTTATTATATATTACAAAATGTACAAACCCTAGCCTTGAAGATGGAGAGCAACACAACAATATCACATCCACAACACCCTTCAAACAGAGTTCAGCGATCGAAACAGGAAACCAAAGTACACCCGGTAGAGCATCCAAGCTGACCTCAACCGAAAAAAAAAAACAATTCAAAATGGAGAAAGATTGGAGCCCATCAACAGTCCCAGATCCATCCCTGCAATTAGATGCTTCTAATGTCACAATTTTGGCCACGTGTTGATTGCCCAAACAAGAGGATGATCTTTTTTTATTGAACAAGAAGCAGCTAACGAAAGAAATAGTAACACGGGAGAGAATGAAGTTGTCAAAGAGGAGTCTCACCTTCTAGCTAATGAGGAAGAGATGTTAGTGATTCAAGTTAAACTCATGAGAGAGACACCAACAAGATTAACATTGGTTATCCTAGGAAATAGTGAAACTAGAGGCTAACATCAAAAAGTGAGCCGCCTTTGCTGAAGGAATTTTTGAATGTCCTAACTGACAATTTACCTCCCGAGTAGCAAAAATCGACGGAGATTCAACATGCAACATACTTCAATCCAGGATTAGTTTTTCCAAACAAAATTGTTTATTGGATAAAATGTTTCTCAATGACGTATGTGTTTAATAGTTGTTTGCAATAGACGTAAGCATAAATTTTATTATGGTATTTCTTCAAACATAGCAAGGTAATGACTTTATAATTGTCTTGGCAGATTGAATTCAGAAGCTTCCAGGAAGAAGCTGAAACCCCTCCTACCAAAGGAAGATGATGTGAGACACTTTTCTTCAGGACCGTGGACGTGAGATCCCACATTTACCGAGAGATCGTAGATCCTTCCGCGATCACGAGATGCCATCCCGCCTAAGATGCATTTTTAGTCCAACTTCTGCAATATTTTTTCCTTCTTAATTTCTTTCATATTTCCTTATTCCTAATTAGGAAATTTTCTATTAGGAGATTATTTATATCTTGTATTTCCTATTTTTTTCAGACTTCGCTTTGTTTTTAGTATTATGGAGATTGTAATCTCTTATTTTATTGCTTTATGAGTGTTGTATCATTTTCCTTTTGCAAGTGTAGTCTATGTATCTTGCTTAAGAACAGGTGATGGATCCACCTTTCCACCCACACCTCACTGTTTTTGGTCGGGACAGCCGCCGAACTCATCTAATCTGTCGTCTGGCAGCAGGCTCCGTCTCCTATACCCTTCCAAAAGCTGTTTAACTCACATATTATCTTTCCCTTGTCATTCCACAACTACATCGTTGCATAACCCACTTACTAAACATCTAGGAGCCCTAGTTTGGTATCACACCATCTCTAGGTGTTGGATGATATCATCATAAAAGCACCGTGAAGCCAAATAATGAGATTATAAATCATAAATAAAGTCTACTCTTAGTACGGATATTGCATCAAACAAACCTGAAAAGATGCATACAAGGTAGGAAGAAAAGGATGGTCCAATTTATCAAGAATTTCTCTTTCTGCAGAAACTCTATGCACCTGAAACATGAGAAGACAATTATAAATGCAGCACAGAAATGGCTTTAGGATTTATTGATAGCCACAAAGTGAGCTTGAAAAACACAACTTGGCTTTTGCATGCATAAAAACAAAACAAATATATATATATATATATATATATATATATACACATATTAGAAACGGAGGATGCAAGTCATCTTGTCTAATTTAATTAAAGAACTCAATTTTAAATAACAAAATCCCGCTCTCAACCTAAAATCAGTTTCAGCCTTTCTCATCTGGGCTTAATACCCTCAATATCAATAAATGAAAATTTATGAACAATGCATAAAATATCTAGAATATATAGTGCTTAAAATTGGAAAAACAGAAATCAAATATATGACATAAAATTTAGTGGGTATGGCATTACCAATTACCATTCCGTATGATTAATGTGGAGTACTACAAAACTTACTAGAAGCGGAATGCATTTTAATGCAAATAACATGAAAAGCATTCCATATTATCCATTTTTAATATTGATAATACTAAGTATATATACCTTGTTGCGATTAAGCATCAAATTTTTATCCATGGCTTTCATGGCAAAGTATTCTCCAGTTTCCACAAGCTCCACCAAGTGTACACTATCAAGAAAGGATAACAGAGTTAATTCCTTGTGCAAATAGACAAAATATTAAACTAAATTGCATGTCATTAAAAAAAACGGAACAATTTAGCTCCAACCTCCCAGTGTCGCCAGATCCCAAGGATTTAACAGGCCTAAAATGTTTCAGACCAATCTTTTCTCCAATGTCGAGAATCTGCATGAATATTTTCTATGTGAGCTTAGTGAGGATTCTATTAAATGCACAAACCCATGAAAACCAATGCAAATTACTAATAGCAGCACAGCGTCCCTAAACAGTGCGCCTACACCAGCTATTCTCAGATAACAGATAGACTTGCTTCATTAAGCAGATAAATTTTTAGTAGTTTAGGTGTTCGTACTCAGGGTGATGCGGGCATCTCCTGGAGTGAACAGATAAATCCCATGACCGAAGCAGTTTCCACCTGTATCCCTGTACCGATTTGATCCATGTCTTTCCTAGTCATGGAGTTCCAGCCGGTTCCTTGGCACACTCCTAATTATCCTATTATTGTTAATTTGCTTTCATGGGAGCCTAGGATTAGTTTTTCGTGTGTTTGTTCGGGACGGCCGCCGGCACCTCTCCTTTCACTTCGAGGGTTGTATCCAAGTGTCAGACTATTGCTCTTGTTATATATGCTCCCAAAGTGGTGATTATTCTTTCTCTACCCTTCTCCATCCATCCCGTATCGCCTCCTACCAACCTCCATTGCCGTAGCCGCCCCTGGACAGCAAGCCGTTGCTATTCTTTGTGCAGTTTCTCACTTTTTCTTACAGACGCCACCCCAAACAGCCATTCTTATGTTGTTTGGCAGTCCATTGCATCCCTCTTCGCTATTGTCGTCATCCTCCCTTCCTACCACCGCCCAGAACCGCAATTCCCGGCTGTTTTCCCACATACAGCCATCCATTTGTTGCTTGGCAGCCCACCGCATCCCCCTTCACTGCCGGCATCAGCATCCTTTGCTGCCGCCGCCCAAAACAGTGCTTCTCTACTGTTTTCCCGCTGCCCAGGCCCCTTTTCCTCATTGATGCCGCCATGTACAGCCACCCTTTGCTGCCCCTGAGTCCACCATCATTCCCTAACTGCCGCTCCTCTTTCCATTACACAAACCGCCCATTCGCTACCTCTCCAGCGGTCCAAATCCCTAGCCGACACCCCTCTATCTTGGATCCAACCCCGTGTAGTGTTGTGTGTTGTTGTTTGTTGTGACTTTAGATTTCCAATCGTTTTGTTGTAAGTTCCTACTTAAATTCAACAATAATATTTGTTCTCAAATTGTTATTTGGTTAAACTCTGAGATTTGGTATCAGAGCTCGTCTAACCCTAGTCCTATCCAAGATTTGCCAAATTAGTCCCCTTCCCAAAACAATTTATTTTCTCTCCCTTTTCCCATCAAATCAAACCACCCCTACATTCCCTTCAACCCCTCCAAACCTAAACCCAAGCCATGCCACCGATGAGACAATTGCTAGAAATATGATGAGGGGAAATGACACAATGCCACTCATGAGAAATCCGGAAAGAGATGTCCAAGAACTTGTTAGGGAAATCCTCCAACCACAACAGAGGCTTGCCGCCATTGAAAAAGATAATCGAAACGATGATTTGTCATATCAAAAGAATGAAGTGAACCCCTTCCACAGAGCAGCTGTCAGTGATAAAGATCAAATACCCCAGATATTTGATATGGAATATCAAGTAAGTCAATTTTAGAATGCAGGGTGACTTGCCATAATTTGACAGCCACACGGATTAGGAGTCCGAGTGGCTCCAAATAGTCAAAAGTCCCTTTTAAGTATCAAGATGTCCCATCGAACAGAATAATAAAACAAGCCCGTGGAAGCAAAATTTTGAAGCACCTATGCTAGTGGGAAGGAAAAAGATAAAATCATTACTTGGTCCAAGGAAAAACAAGAGATGCAGCGCAAGTAGCTCTTAGTTCATTATAGACAATATGTTCTCTAGACAACATCACTGGGTGATTGCCAAATCTGACCGACAGAGCTCAATCCCAAGGTCAAGCATCAAGATTACATCCAATGAAGCATCCAAGTCGGTCCTGGATGAGGAGAAACTAGTTCAGAATGAAGAAAAGATGGAGTCAATCAGCATTCTCAATTCCGTCCCCAGCTAAAAAGTGTGTTAAGTGCCATAATTTTGAACACAGTGCATCAATTTGCCTAAATAAGTGTATAATCTCTTTCATTAAACAAGGAGCAATTGAAAAAATAGACAGTGACACGGGAGAAGATGAAAGCGTCAAAGATGAATCTCAAGTTTAAGTTAATAAGGAAGAGATGCTAGTGATTCCAACTGAGAATGAGATAGACACCAACTGAATTAGTCTTGGTGTTCTAAAAGATAGTGAGTCTGAGGAAGCCGATACCAGAAACGGGACAAACCCTGCGGAATAAATTGCTCGACATCATGACCGACAGATTACCTATAAGATGGTTGCCATTGAAACTGATCCAATATCCCCAATATTTCATTTGAATTAATTCTTCAGACAAATTCGCTTATCGAATGTGCCCATTAGAGTCTGAGGTGCAAATAGCAAGTTATAGATTTAATGGGTCAAGAGTTACTTTGTCAAAATCTACATTTGTATGCAGCTCTAGCTCAAGTTGTGCCAAAATAAGATGTATATTAATTCAATCAGGATGGGCTTTGGAATGACAATGTCTGCAGAATTGACTTACTGGAAATTTATAGTAGCTCCAACACCTTCAAAGTGGCCTACCTAATGTCATCCAATGAGGAGACTAAAGCGTCGACGAATGAGATCAAAGCTTACCCAATTCTGAGAAACTGATGTGGGCGTTTTTCGATTCTAGAACTGATGCAAGACTCCAACAACCAAAATAGCTTTCGCCAGCATGCCTAGACCGATTTGGTCCAGGTCTTTCCTCATGATGGAGCATTGGTCCGTTCTATGGCCCACTCCTAGTTATCTTTTTATTATAAATTTGCTTTAATGGGAGTCTAGGGCTGGTTTTACATGTGTTTGATCAAGGCAGCCGCCAGCACCTCTCTTTTCACTTCAAAGGTTTTATCAAGGTTCGAGTGGTGCTTCAGCTTTATCTTACTCCCAAGATTGTGACTATACTTCCTCTACCCTTCTTCATCCATCTCGCATCGCCTCCTACCGCCTCGTGACAGCAATTAATATTGTTCTTCCTGCAATTTCCCCCTTTTCCTTGCCGCCACCGCCCCAAAAAGCCATGCCATTAGTTTGTTGTCCAACAGTCCACCGCAACCTCCTCTTCTGTTGTCGTCATCCTCTTTTGCTGCATTCGCCCATAACTGCAATTCCCTGTTGTTTTCCTATTGTTCCTGCCATTTGCCTTAATACCACTGCCCAGGTCCACCATCAGCCTACAACATCCTTCTTCATTGTCACCATCATCATCCCTTGGATTCCGCAACCCAGAAAAGTGATTCTCTGTTGTTTTCCCGCTTTCCAGTCCCCTTTTCCTCTCAGCCGCTGCCCGAGATGGCCACCCTTCGTTGCCTTACAGTCCACCATCATTCCCTGACAGTTGCCCCTCCTTTCAGTCCATGGATCACCCCTTTGTTACCTCTCCGAAGGACAAAACCCTAGCTGACACCCCTCCAACATGGATCTACACCCTATAGTGTCGTGCATTAATGTTTGTAATAATTTCAGATTTTTTGTTTGTTTGGTTGTAAATTTCTATTTGAACTCAGCAACAAAATTTATTCTCTAATTACTGTTTGGTTAAACTCTGATATCATAGGGCAATGCTATTTTTAGCCTTATTAGAAAAATGTTTCAAAATAATTTAAAAATAAAAAATATTTTAATGTAATTTAACATATTTAAAAAGCAAATGAGGATCATGACATGTTATACTTGAGAAAATCTAACCTTCTGAAAGGCTATCCATGATGAACTATTCTTCATGTGAGGCTTTGGGAGGACAATTTTTGAATGGATGGCCCACAAATCCTCGGGTTTCTGTGCATAGAAAAAAACATCAGCGGATCAGATAGATAAATAATAAATCATATTAAAAAGGCAATCCTATGAACATACCAAATTTGCATCTGGAAGTTCCCGCACGGCTTCATCAACATTTTCTGCAGTTTCTTTCACCTAAAGCGTTTGCAACAAGTCCATCAGAAAAAATTTACTTAGCAAATCCATAAAAGACCTCTCAAAAAATATCAGGGTAGTTGGTCACTTTTATCAAACATAATGCAATAAGATATGTGGAAAAACAACAAAACATGCATTAGAAAAGCATTCAAATTTATTTATAACTATTTAGAAAAAAAAAATTCTTGACAGGGAAGAGTCTGTGCGAGAAGCAAAAGAATCTGTAATTGACAGTAATATATAATATGTGAAATCGAACCATAAGAAAATGAAATGCAGCAATTTCAAGTATTATCCTACATACTTAAATGGTTATATTGTTCCCAACAAAAAACCATGGTAGATCACAAAGCTCCCCAACTATTCTTCCAATAATAACATAGCAAATTAAATGCTTATTGGGGTTTGACAGTGGAAAGGATAACATGCTCTAGCTTTAAAGATTGCCTACCATTTTAAAATGACTTTGCTAATGTGAACTTAAAAGTAGATCTCTCAAGTTACAATTATAATTTCAAATATCATTAAAAAGTTAACATATCAAACATGATGCACTGAGCTATAAAAGATTGAAGAAAATCAAAGACAGTAAAGATTAAGTAGGACGAGTCAATGAAAATTAAATGAAAATGCGACTAGCAGCAACACTTAAAATGGAAACAAAAGTGAATGAAATAGAGCAAGTTCAGCTTTATGACTCCAATTCAAACACCCTTTTAAAATGACTTTGCTAATGTTAACTTAAAGTAGATCTCTCAAGTTACAACTATAATTTCAAATATCATTAAAAAGTTAACATACCAAACATGTTGCACTGAGCTATAAAAGATTGAAGAACATCAAAGACATTCGAGATTAAGGAGGACGAGCCAATGAAAATCAAATGAAACTGTGACTAGCAGTAACACTTAAAATGGAAGCAAAAGAGAATGAAATGGAGCAAGCTCAGCTTTATGACGCCAATTCAAACACCAAATTTGTTCACAACAGAGCAGTTTAGTATCACAAAATTCACAGACAATTTTTCTAATAATCGCATATCTGATTTGAGATTTGGGTGGGAAGTTGTGCATGGTTAACAAAAGAAAGATTAACATGCTCTAGTTGGCATACCCTGGCCTTTTCAGGAAGAAATAAGAAAGGATGACTTTTACAGTTGAACTTCCAGAGTTAACAAAGATAGATTGCAAATTGGACAAGAAAAGTTGAGCATAAGTTGGCATAGAACAATTTCTTAAAATGTGAATTTGGTACAGTTGTTGTTTGGACGATCTAAAATCCAATTTACAGCTGGTTACCTTATCTTTCATGATAAATGAGGAGCCCTAGTGCTGCTAATCAATTTGGGCCACTAAGATCCTGAAGTTAAGACTACTGAATCCAGCAAGAGGGAAGCAACTACTAAAGTAAGACAATACATACAAATTTTGCACCATCATTTGCAGCAGTCTCCGGTATGCAGTTGCGGACATGATCAACATGTTCACTACCATCCAATTGCACACCAATGAAATATTGCACTTCCCCCTGCAAATCATAAAAATGATATAGTAGCCCTCAGACCAAACTTATTACACACCAAAAATTGAACCAAAATAGCAAACTTAGTCTCTTTTCTTAGGTAGCACCTTCTGGTCACGCATAGGTTGCAAGTGAAAAAGATTCCAGAACTTCTTTCCTGTTGCAAAGAACAATTCATCACATTGCTCAATTAGGGCATATAAAACTTGGAAGAGGATTAGTATCACAAGAATCTAAAAATTTAAGGTAAGACGATTGGGAACTAAAGATGCACATCGAAAAAGTTTGATTACAGGCCATGGAAGTTGCTAAATTTATTTTCCATCAAGTTCCAAGATTTGAATGGAATATAAACAAAAGAATGTTATGCAATCCCTACAAGTTTGACAAAGCCAACCATTCTAACAAGTATTTTTAGGATAATACCAAGGCATAGATGTACGGTTAACCAAAAGAAGTCCACAACGGAAGTTGGTAAGCATTTAATATGGCATCTGCATCTGGAAGGCTGTGTGCCATGAACCAAATAATGAAGTCTCCTCATACACACACTTTCAATGTATATGCATGCTATTAGCACCTGTGCACATGTCACCTAATTAGAGGAGATTTAATTCCAAATCTTTTCTGTATTAGGTATATTCCTAATGTGCAAAGAGAGGAGAGTCTATAAATATATCATATAGCATTTCGATTGGGAAATTAGAAGAAAGAAAGTTTTCCACTCACATGGTAACATCATCGAATCCATCCCCTCTAAATCTTTAGCCATCGACGTTAGCCTCTAGGAATCGTTTGTTGTTTTTTTTTTGGAGTCGGGCCATTCCGTCATCCTTGACATCACCGTTTATTTTCTATGGCATCATATCTTCTTCTTGTGATAGACACAATTGTCTTAGGCTCGGGCACATTTCAGCTTTGTCATGACTTCGTCTATATCGAACAACACCATTTGCATCGTCTACAACCTTTGACTCCGTCTTTGTCAGCGACGTCTGCGGCAAACTGCTTCGAACACGCATGTGCCTGCTTCAGTTGTGATGCCTCTATTTTCTCTAGTCGTTTGTCTGCATCTACTTCATCCGCCTATCTCAGTCGACTAAATTAGGGAATCAATGACAATCGTTTTGTTTCGCTCTGTCTGCTTTATCTCTCTAGGTCAAGTCCCTCAACTTCTATTTTCAGACTTCATTTAAGGAATATTTCTCAAAAAGTCATATCACTGATAATACCCCAACTATGAATGAATTGAATTATTCTAAATGGATGATGGTGGATGCCCAACTATTGATATAAATGTGGAACTCTAACGAACCTGATCAATCTAATCATATTGCTCATTCCGACTATGTTAGAGATGCGATGGAGAAATTAGCATTTGTGTTTTCTGAAAGAAAATATTTCTAGAATGTTTGATGTTTACAAAGAGTTCTATCGAGTTGAACAACAAGATCAATGATTTAACATTTATCACATGCCCTTCAAACGTGTGTATGAATAATTGAATGTACTACTGCCCTTCAGTACTGATGTCTGGAATTTTTTAGCCAGCCTCAACTCTCAGAATGAAGGTGTCAAATCACAGCTCTTATCTGACCATGAATGTACTACACTGAGCAAAGTCTATAGTAGAGTATTGCGTATAACACCGAGTTTTCAAGCCTTATACGTATAACAAACTAGCGCTCTTACTAGTCGGAAGAATACAGACATCAACAAACCTCAATCTCAAAACAATTATAGAATTGAAACTCCGAATTTGAGAAATCAAGGGTCGAAAGTAGTGTGCTATTACTGTCATGAGCCTAAAATCATACAAAGAGAACGTGTCAAAATTTGCACAAAAAGAAGCAGAAGGGTTCTAAATCATAAACAGCTCACATGGTCACTCCTAATGAGGCATCTCAAGTCAGACTCTCTCGATCTCTACAGATGAATATGCTAAGTTCAACAAATTTTAGGAAGCATCCAGAAAATCTCCATCTACCACTGCTCTTGCTGAGTCAGGTAGCAATGATATTTCCCTTCTTTCCTCTTACACGCAATGAGTCATTAATTTTGGTGTTATAGATCACTGATAGGTAATCTAAAATTCTTTTTAACCTTTCATAAGTGTTTTCTGCTATCATTTTTGCAGATGTTCTTGGTTCTAACACCATCAATGTTACATCCAATCAAAGTTACATCCACATTGCCTCTAGCGTTTGTTCTCGTTATACCTCAAATTGCTTTTGATCTTGTTTCTATCAACAAAATCTCAAGTGCTCGTAATTATTGTATCTAATTCTTTCTAGACCATTGTCTATTTCAGGATCTTATGATGAAGAAGATTATTGATACAACAACAACAAAGCCTTAATCCCACTACGGGTCGGCCACATGAATCTTTTTTCTCCATTGCGTCCTATTTAGTGTCATATTTTCATTTAGTTCTAGTAAATTAAGATCACTTTTAATACAGTAAGCCCAAGTCTTCCTCGGTCTACCTCTGTCTTTCTTAACACAAGTCGAGTCTAAAACATCCACTCTCCAAATCGGATCATCAGATCGTTGACGTTTAATGTGACCAAACCATCTAAGACGACTCTCTAATTTTGTCCGTCATAGGAGCTACACCAACCCTATCACGGATATATTCATTTCGCATTTTGTCTCCAAGTGTAAAGCCACTCATCCACCTAATCATTCTCATCTCGGCAACACTTAACTTATGATTATGCTTCTCTTTTGAAGGCCAACATTCAGCGCCATAGAGGAACAACAGACCCAAGATATCTAAATCATTCACACCGTTTAATAATTTGATCACCCAAAGTCACACTTCTGTCACTAGAGCTATTACTACTAAAATTACATTCCATGTATTCAGTTTTAGTTCTACTTAAATGAAGGCCTTTAGAGTCCAATGTAGACCTCCATATTTCAAGTTTTTCTTGGGTTTTTTCTCTTGTTTTATCCACGAGAAGGATATCATCAGCAAAAAACATACACCATGGTACATCCTCCTGTAGATGTCCAGTAAAACCATCCATAACTAAAGCAAAAAAGATATGGGCTTAAAGCCGATCCCATATGTAATCCAACAGAAATAAGAAAATATTTTGTCAATCCTCCTTCAGTTTGAACACAAGTAACAACTCTAGTATACATATCTTTAATGACTTGAATATAAGTCATATCAACACATTTCTTCTCGAGAACTCTCCAAAGGATATCTCTTGGAACCTTATCGTAAGCTTTTTCTAAATCAATAAAAATCAAATGTAGATTCTCCTTATTATCTCTGAACTTCTCCATCAAACCTCTCAATAAATGTATAGCTTCCATAGTAGACCTGCCAGGCATAAATCCAAATTGATTATGAGAAATTTTTGTGATGCATCTTAACCTATGTTCAATTACCCTCTCCCATAATTTTAAAGTATGATACATCAACTTAATTCCTCTATAATTTGCACACTCTTGTGCATCCCCTTTATTCTTAAAAATGGGGATCAAAATACTCTTCCTCCACTCCTCAGGCATCTTTTTAGTTTTTAAAATAATATTAAGGAGTTTAGTAAGCCAAGAAACTCCCAAATCTCCCAAATATTTCCACACTTCAATTGGGATATCATCAGGTCCTACAGGCTTTCCACCCTTGGTTTTCTTTAAAGCCTCCTCAACTTTTTTTTTTATTAATGCAATGGCAAAAATGAAACGTTTTATTATTATTCACGATATTAAGATCACTAAGATCGATTGTATTTTCAGAAACTTCATTAAAAAGTTTATCAAAGTAACTCACTCACTTATGTTGAATATCTTTTTCTAAGAAAAGTACTTTTTGATTTTCATCTTTAATACACTTTACTTGAGTTAAATCTTTACTTTCTTTTCTCTTTGTTTGGCTAGTTTATACACATATTTTTCACTCTCCTTCGTATCTAATCTATTATAAGGATCATTAAAAGTAGAATTTTTAGCGTCACAGATTGTTCTTTTAGACTCCCTATGGGCCGTTTGATATTTTTCTCAGTTCTCTAAGTTTTTACATTTAAACCAATTTTTATAACATAACTTCTTGTATTTTATCGTTTCATGCACATTATTATTCTACCACCAACTATTTTTATTTATAAAAAATTTTTCTTTTGATTCTCCAAGCACATCTTTTGCTACTGGTTAATAGTGTTTGTTACTTTATCTCACATAACATTTGCTTCTTCATGAATATCCCAAATTTTGAAATCTTGAATTTTAATTATAAAAATAAATTTATTGGTGTCTTTTAAGTTTTTTCATCTAATTTTACGTTGATGAGTCCTAGTATTCTTCATTTTACAACTCTTAATCTTAAAATCTAGAACTAATAAACGATATTGAGTACTTAAATTTTTAATTAGAATGACCTTACAATCTTTTTTTAATTAGAATGACCTTACAATTAGAATGACCTTACAATCTTTACAATCCCAACGATATCTTCTTCCCATAAGAAAATAATGAGATTGTGTTTTAATAGATCCACTTTTATAAGTAATATAATGCTCATCTCTTTTCTTGAATGAAGTATTAGTAATAACAAAATCATACGCTAAAGCAAAATCTAAAATAGCTCTACTTTCTTCATTAGTTACTCCAAAACCAAAGCCACCACAAGTATTTATGAAGTCTTCTACCACTCTACTGACATGTCTATTTAAATCTCCTCCAATAAAAATTCATTCTTCAAGAGGTATCATTTTATTAAGTTTTCTAAGTCATTCTAAAATTTATCTTTAGACCCTGTATTTAAACCTACTTGAGGAGTATAAGCACTTATAATATTAAAAATCTTAGTATCAATGATAATCTTAAGGGATATAATTCTATCTCCAACTCTATTAATTTTTACAACATTATCTTTCAAACTCTTATCTATGCTTACACTTACACCAATTCTGGTGTGACTCTTATCAAAATACCAAAATTTTAAACCTAATTATCAATCTTCTTAGTCTTTTCTCCAACCCACTTAGTTTCTTGAATACATAAGATATTAATTTTCCTATGAATCATAATATCAATTAATTCCATTAATTTACCATTGAGAGTAATTATATTCCGAGACCCTATCTTAATATTAGTTTCATTAGTTCATGGACTAACTTTTTTGCCCGCATTTGCCCATAATGA